AGCGAACGTCGGTTTCGTAAGCTGGATGCGGTGAGCTAGGATAAGACCCAGGTGAGGATGAAATCACTCACAGTCCCTTCAATAGCATGTCCCGTGCTGCCTTCTGGCATATTCATGATCTCATCAAGGATGATCCCGTCTTTGAAGGGACTCGTTTCAGGCCTCAGCGTCCTGTCAAATTCCAAATGGCCGCATTCTATATACAAACTGGTGGCATGACAGCAGCTCGAACCGGTGATGTTATCGGTGTTGCAGAAGGAAGTAGCTTCCTATATTTCAGCCGTGTCACAAGAGCACTTCGACACCTCAAACCGGAGTATCTTAGCTGGCCAAACATGCAACGACGTGAACAAATCAAGGAGTACATGTCCAAGTGGGGCTTTCCGGGATGTATTGGTGTCGGTGATGGCTCTCTACTGAGACTGGTCAACCGCCCACTTCAAAACCCTTACTCATACTGGTGCAGAAAAAAGTTCTACGCTGTGAGTAACAGATCTTTTACTCGGTCTTGTGCTCACAAGATTATCAGCTCTCAATACAAGCAATCTGTGATCATGAAGGTCTCATTATTAGCTACAAGCTTGGCTGGCCTGGATGCCTCACCGATGCAACAATCTTCAAACAATCTCGTTTGTGGCTACGTCGCGATGAATACTTCCAAGATGACGAGTTTATCATGGTTGACAAAGGTATGGACCTAGTTCTGCTTTGATATCATTACTGACACAGGGTAAAGGTTATCCATTGTCAATGTATACTATCCGCCCATTTGCAGACCCCGACCTCACCACAGATCCAATCGAGTCGACCCGCCGCAAACGCTGGAACCAGCGGTTGTCATCAAGACGAATTGTTATTGAACACACCTTTGGACAGCTCAAGGGCCGCTTTCCCTACCTGCGCACCATTCCAGGGCGTGATCTTCGTCGCATCAACTGCACCATTGAGGCACTTATGGTTTCACACAACATCTTGACTTTATTTGGGGATGACCCAACACGCATCAGTGACTTCAATGCTGATGAAGAGCCTCGTGTCACACGCCACCTGCGGCGGCTCAGGCAGAATGAGATTGCGGAAGAGACCGATAATGATCTCTACCGCTCAGGTTTATTGCGTCGCAAATTACTTATGGATCAGATGTTATAGAGGAGACGGTGTATGGCAAGATAAGCTAGATTAGTCTAGAATGAAATACGAGTGTATACCATCTAACTTTTGGGATCTAGCAAGAAAAATCAACAAACAGGCAAAACAGACTAGAGCCCACCATCGGCATCAGCCTCCTTCTTGAGTGTTTCGGCCATAACTTTGCCAATCTCCTTCAGAGTTGGATCAGGAGAAGAAAGGAATTCAGCAACCTTTGTCCAGTTCTGCAGCCGGAGCTCACGTCGGCGCTCACGATGAAGCTCAGCTTCACGTTTAGCTTGCTCCTCGCGAAGACGGAGATCTCTCTCCTCGTACTTGGTCTTCTCCTTCGCACGGTCTTGGATGCTCGCAACGAGCGATCTGAGCATGTCATCATCCGATGCATCGCGGCGTAATCTCTTGCGGCAGCGCTCGTCGGACTCTTCGTCATCGGAGACAGATGTGGCTTCATTCAGCGGGTGTGCGCGAATGACCTCAGGACTGTCGTGAGCCCTACAGAGACAGTTAGTATGAGGATCTCGTATGCAGTAAATACATACACAGAATCAATGGCGCGATAGATATCAGTCTCGCGAAAGTCCTCGAGTGTTGCACGCGACCACTTGCTCTGCGAACTTTTGCTGCGCAGAGGTTGACCGGGTTTTGTGTCGGTCTCCGTGTCATCCAAGCCTTCGACATCCGACTCATCACCGTCGCCTCCGCCAGTCTCCTCCTCCAACCTGCGGGCAGCCTTGTACTGGCCGAAAAGCTGGTCCCATTTGCGCTGGACCTGCTCCGCAGTTTTGCGACTGCTCAAGAAATCCTGCGAGATCTGAGATGGTATGGCGGAGATCAGATTTCGCAGACAATGCAGAAGGAGACAGCCTACCTTCATGAAGTGTCTGCCCCGCTCAATCTTGAATTCCTGCCAGATCTCCTCGCGACAGATATAGTCGACGAGGATCTTCGTCTCCTCTTCGCTCCACTTCCCTTCCATGCTGGCCGTAACACGCTCCCGCATACCCGGAGTGAGCTCCTTGATGTCCTCGTCCGACTCTCCGCCAGCTCGCGCATTCTTGCGTGAGCGAGACCCGGCACCTTTCGCTGGCGTCTTCTTCGGCTTTGTGTCTCCTTTGGTACCCATCGCGAGACCCTTCGCACCCGCTGCAACACCCTTCGCATCCGCCGCGATCCCCTTCGCATCCACCGCGATGCCCTCCGCACCTGCCGCGATGCCCTCCGCACCCGCCGTGATGCCCTCCGCACCCGCCGTGATGCCCTCTGTACCCCCCGCAGTGCCCTTCGCACCTGCCGCGATGCCCTTTGCACCCTTTGCGCCATGGGTCTTGCCCGTCGTGCCACGATTTGTGTCTGTCGTGATGCGGTATGCATCCTTTCTGTCGTCGTATGTGTTCGCGGCGGATTGGTTCGTGTTCACGACATCTCAGTTCGTGTCTGGGGCGCCGCCGTGTACAGTTACAGACCGGCCACGGCCTCGGCCTCGGCCACGTCCGCGACCACGACCACGGCCACGCTGGGTAGGTGTCTTCGGGCACGACGGCGTCTGGTGGTTGGAGATCTCCACGAGGACAGCTTCAGCGTGCGTGAGTTCTTCCTCGAAAAGCGCAGACTTCGGGCTTTGAGGTTGGATAGCCCGGCTATTGGCCTGGGGATTGGCGGCTTGATTCAACTAGTTCAGATTTCGCAGGCTCAATGACTATAGTGGGCTAACTCACCTTGTTCTATAAGGATTCCACCTGTCTCTAACTCCATGTTGTTGCAGTCGAATGCAGGTCCTAAGTACTCCAAGGGCTGGTGGCCTGGAAAAGGGTAGTTCTCCTGCGTGTATCCTCCAGCCTGAGAGAAGTTCAGAAGTTCGTGCAAGCCAAGCTGCATAGCAGCCTCATCGACGAATGCAGGGTCAAGGGAATCAATGCTGAAGTCCATGGTGAAGTTGGATCAACGCGTCGACCGCGTCGGCCGCGCTGAACGCGACACGAGATTTCGAGCGGAGCTACAATTGCCACGAGCGTCAACGCAGCTCACGTGTCAATGCCGACTCGGCCAATGACGTCATTGACAGATGGCATCACACGCTCTCAAGCTCATTCACTCATGCGCACCGGAAATCGACGACCGGAAATCCATGCCATTGCTTCACATTCTTAGCTTCATCTTGCTTCTCTGCTGTATTTCATCCGATCTTCAAGAAGATATATAACCATGCCTGCTACGACCAACGGTCAAGCCGCTTTGACGAACGGCGACGTCCACCTCACTTCGGCCGACGTGATCCACCTAGAGCATGAGCATGGCGCACACAAGTAAGTATTTTCCTCCTCGAGCTATTGGGAGGCAGAAAGCGAGACCGGCCATTGAGAAAGACCTTTTTGCCTTGTTTCCGTTTGCATTGTGTCCAGATGAGCTACCGACCAAGACTTGAACATTGACACGGCGTCTGTTCGTCGCGGCGATCTCCCTGGCACGCCCGTTCCCCCTTCTCTGGCCTATGAATCGAGACTGACCCTATCGTGCTATGATGTACAGCTATCATCCATTGCCTGTCGTCTTTGAGCGTGGCCAGGGTGCCAAAGTATGGGATCCCGAGGGCAAGGAATACATCGACATGCTGGCCGCATACTCGTACGTCGACCTCCTATTCAGCTCAGGAAGACAGGCATCCTCAACCACGTTCCTCTTGTCTTTAGTGCGGTCAACCAAGGTCACTGTCATCCCGCCATCGTTCAGACGCTCGTCACGCAAGCCCAGAAGCTCACGCTCTCCTCGCGCGCCTTCTACAACTCGCTTTTCGGAGTTTTCGCCAAGACGGTCACGGAGATGTTCGGATACGACATGGTACTGCCCATGAACACGGGCGCGGAGGCGGTAGAGACCGGCCTCAAGCTCGCGCGCAAGTGGGCGTACGAGAAGAAGGGCGTTCCGGAGGGCAAGGCGATCATCCTCAGCGCCGCGGGCAACTTCCACGGGAGAACACTTGGTGTTATCAGGTTCGTCCTCGCATGTCGGTCGTTGTTACGAGACAGCCGACCTCAACGATCATTTTCTCCAGCATGTCTACGGACCCCGAGTCTCGCGGCGGGTTCGGGCCGTATCTCGCCAACGTAGGCCCGTCATATTCGGATGCGGAGGGTACGGTTTCTTGATATTTGCATACGTGCGGTCGGCTAAAGCATCAGACAGGTCGCCCTCACACGATCCGCTACGGTGTCCTTGAGGATCTCGAGCAAGCGCTGGCTGTCCACGGCAAGCATGTCGCTGCGTTTCTCGTAGAACCCATTCAAGGCGAAGCAGGGTATGGTTTTACTCCGTCCCGCAGACAAGTCGGCATCTCTGAAGCGCCATCTTCATCAGAATCGTCGTGCCACCGGAAGGTTACCTGGCCAAGGCGCATGATCTGTGCAAGAAGCACAACGTACTGCTCATCTGCGACGAAATCCAAACGGTAACGGCTGCGCTTTTATCGACTTACATTATGTGGCGTATTCACATGGATCGCCGCTGTAGGGATTGTGCAGAACGGGTAAGATGCTCGCCTGCGAGTGGGAGAACGTTCGTCCGGACATCATCCTTCTCGGTAAAGCGCTCTCAGGCGGAGGTGTGTCAACTTTCCTCCGAAATCGTTCAATTCACTCCGCTCACCGGGACGTTTCTGGCGTAGTCTACCCCGTGTCCGCAGTGCTCGCGGACAAGGATATCATGCTGTGCATCAAGCCCGGCGAGCACGGAAGTACCTACGGCGGGTGAGCACTTGATCCAGTGAAGCGACAACCAAACCCAATCTCTCCATTTTGCTTCCGCATCTCCGCAATGAATCTGGGCCTTTTGTGTTTTGTGTCTTTTTTTGACGCTAATCCCATTCGGTAGCAACCCGCTGGGCTGTGCGGTGGCGATGACCGCGCTCCGGGTGCTCGTCGACGAGGACCTCGCTGCGCGCGCGCAGCGGCTGGGCGAGCTTTTCCGATCGGAGGTGCGCAAGATCGCATCGCCGCTCGTGAAGGAGGTCCGGGGCCGGGGTCTGTTCAACGCGCTCGTGATTGACGAGGAGAAGAGCGTCAAGGGGCGCACGGCGTGGCAGTTCTGTCTGCTGCTCAAGAGCCGTGGTGTGCTTGCCAAGCCGACGCATGTGAACATTATCCGGTTCTCGCCCCCGCTGGTCATCTCCGAGGAGGACTTGCTGAAGGCGGTGAAGATTATCGGCGAGTGCCTCGTCGATTTGGACAGGGTGCGTAGCTCGACCAACCTGATGGTTCCACGGCCGTCCGTTGACGATGCGCTCGCGTAGCTGGACGAGATCCCGGGCGAGGTCGAGAGCGAGAAGGGTTTCAAGGATATCATTGAGAATTGAGTAAGGGCCGTGCGCGACGGGAATTGGATGGAGGGGGATCCATGGTGGGAGGGACGAACTACTGCTCAGCGGTCGAAAGCCGACCGAATCGGCGTGGCCTCCAACACGGATTGACGTGCCTACAAATTCAACAACCTCAATGTATAGCATGTACATGCATGCGTCCAACGGATATTGTTGTAGCAATTTCCATGCTTTTGTCGGCTCCCGTAGCAAGGTCCTTTACAGCCTGCAATGTGAATATAGCATGTTCGTGACGCCATGCCCGGACGCCCCCGTTGAGTCTCATCAACGAGCTTACTTGCGCTAGCGAGACGACCCATTACATACCATTACCATCGTTGGCAACCTCCGCCCCAGATCCAATTCAGATCAGCCAAACCCGACACAACACCGCGGATAATCGACGAATCCAGGAGTCATTGTGGCTATCCTTACATTATTGCTCAACGTCGTCTTAGTCCTCGCCGCGTCTCGTCTACTGTTCGCCATCATGGTCGGTATACTCACTAGTACATCTGTTCACCGAGCGCACGACCTCACACCAAAGCGTTGTATCGCATAGTCCAGGAGATCCGCCGCCGATCGGGCACTCGAGGAGAGCGTCGCGCAATTCTGCGAGTTCACTGCCGCGACGTGAGTGTGACCCACCGGCTCGCATTGCAGTACAATCCGGATCGCGATGGATTTGCCGATGCCGGTCTGCTGACGACGATGCTTTGTCTCATCCAGCCCGAAGGAGGCGCGGAACTACCTGACCAAATACAAGAAACTGGATAGCGCTCTGAACGCGTTCTACACCGACCCGAATATGTTCGGCAGGCGCGATACCGGTCCTTCGACGAGCAAGCTCGGCGTGCTGTTCGATCAGTACAAAGGTGCGTATCCCAGTCTATCTATCGAACTATGCGTGAACTCGAGCCGACCATCTGCAACGTGTGGCGCGCATAGAGGAGGACGGGGACGATATCGGCATCGATGGGACGATCCGATTCTGCCAGGATCTTGGAGTGGACCCTGAAGACGTCGTGCTTTTGGCCATCGCCTACGAGTTGAAGAGCCCGCGGATGGGCACATGGGAGAAGAAGGGATGGATAGACGGCTGGAAGGCCATCGGGTGAGTCATGCCGCTCCTTAATCACCCCCAATTCACATCTGCACTCCGTGCCGTCTTCCATTGCTCGAAATTGGCAGGGTGGCCGTTCATATAAACCCATGTCTTCACCGATGATCACACCGGTACTCACGGGCGGCACATAATGCGCATCTAGCACAGATAACATAGCGGGGATGAAGACGTCCTTGCTCCGGTTACGAGATAAGCTTGGATCGGATCCAGCCTACTTCGCCAAGGTGTACGGCCATACCTTCGACTTCGCCCGCGCGGAGGGACAGAGGAGTCTCGGTACGTCATCATTCGTCAATCGATAGGGAATGTGGAGAGCCAAACCCTACGATGTAGCTATCGAAACCGCGATCGCGTTCTGGCAGCTGCTGCTACCGACCGGCCTGCAGGGAGGCGCGCTGGCGCACATCCGGTCGCGGGACTCCGACAACGACCAGGACATGGACGGCGAGGAAGGGTGGAAGCCCGAGTACAACGACTGGTGGTTCGAGTTCCTCACGCAAAGGGGAGGAAAGGGCGTTAGCAAGGACACCTGGACGATGGTGAGTAATCGGTTCTCCCTCGCGCTTTCCATTTCCGAAGCTGTCTCTCCTTCCGTCCGACGAGCGCGTTCTCATGCTGACGTTTCCTGCCCATATCACCTGATGCAGTTCTTGGAGTTCGTGCGGACCATAGACTCCAAATTCGAAAAGTACGACATGGAGGGTACGTGATCCCGTCTCATGAGTCGCCATGCCCTTGCTCTGCCTCGTTTGGCGGGTTTCACGGGATGAGGCAACGTGCATCATTCATGGAGCTCATCGCGTCGCATTACAGCCGCCTGGCCATCGACCATCGACGACTTTGTCGAATTTGCCAAGGAGAAGCTCGCATCTGGCGGCGCTTAAACGCCGACGCGGGTCGGGCAACACATGTAAGAAGGGTCTATCGCGACGGACGATCATGCAAAGCGACAGACGGGCTGTCTGGAATAGATGATGAGACGCGTGATGTTACTGTTGTTGTTTTGGGCCATGTACAAGAAGCTGTGTACTTGTGTGTATTCTGACTGCTTGTGGGACCGATCGCTCCCACTGCTGTCTTCGCGCTCGAAGGATGGGCAACGGAGAACCCGCTTGCCATTGTAAGCACATCAAGCGCGAATCCATGTTTCGCTACAGTCGCGTCCAGCCAAGGCACCGTTCCCGAGCCCGATAATGATGGCCACATCAAACCCCGCATTGGCTTATAGATCCGTTCCCGTCACGAGGAGGGATGGAAGGAATGGCGAGTCCTTCGCGACCGACAGCCGGGTCGAGGACGCGTTCTGGCTCAGGGGTGTCAGGGCAATCGCTGCCATGATCTGCTGGGCTTCTCTGTCGATGGAGGCCATCATTATCATTATGATATACAAGCATGTGAACGCTCCGATCTGAGCTCGCTTTGGCGTCCGGAAGAGTTCGGGACAAACGAAGGCAGATACCACAAGCGAGGACTTACAAAGGGTTGGTACGAAGGACCGCGTGATCGCCACTGTCGGCGACCCAGAGAACGTCGACATGAGAAGAGTGAACCAGGCCCGAGGTAGAGGCCGCCGCGTCCTGGATGAGCTTCCGGAGGGCGAGGGCATCGGACGTCGGGGGCGAAACGTCGATGCGAATGTAGTGATGTGTTTGTGGCATCTTTCGTCGGGAAGTCATTGTTGTTGTTGTTCGCCCCTGGATGATTCTCTTAGAATAGCGGTTCGTGACGGTGAGGATGGAAGAGTAGTGACCGTGAGAACCAGACGATAATTGCGGCATGGGAAATTCTGCTTAAGATACTTGCCGCGTGTTGGCCCTTGCTTTCACCCTTGTCGGGGCGTTCAGCACGCTTTGCATGGAGGTTGCCTTAAGCTCGAACAGGCATCTACGACCCGTCCTGAGACCAGTGCCCTCGTATCTCTCCACGATGTACTCGGACGTTCTGGATCGTAGCCCTTCTTTCAAGCGCAGCCCTGAGCCGTTCGAACAGCACTATCACCAAAGGAGTCTAGGTTTCGAGAGTACCGCTTTGGCTCTGATGGGGTCGAGGATTATCTCATTCTTTGGTGGGGCTGGCGCTTTCCGACAGCGGAGGAGAACGAGGACTTCGAAGGTTCCAGTTGCTGAAGACGGCAACGTCTGAACGTGGAGCCACTTGGCTGATATATGGGTCTAAACCGGCTTTGGGAAACGCCTTGATACCTCATGCGTGCTCTATGAATCTAATAGCGGCGCATAATCTGTTCTATGACAAGCTCGGGCTTATCGCGTCGTCATACCCTCGAATAATAGCCGCAAAGCGGTCGACCTGCCTACGGCCTTGGACTTGTCATCTTAATCAGGACCTTTTCTATCGATTATCGCCGTCCTCGTGTTTTAGCACCATCAAGAAGGTATGCATGACTCTAATGAAACTTACGACAGCCACGAAGCATGACCGAATGCGAGGTGCTTTGGCGTGGGGGCCTCATCTGCCATGATCATGATAGGTTTATCAAACCACGTTAACGCAGACCCTCAGCATCCCACGACTCAGGCGTATTTATGATGACAGCATGACCGGTTGTCAGATGCTTAGTCGCGAGCGGCCAAGTGCGCCTCACGCAGCAATATTGGTGGTAGCACAAACCCAAGGCGCCGCCCAGCGAGATACATATTCGGATTTATGCCTCACTCCCCGCGGTGAACTCGCTCCATTTAGTCATGCTTCTATTTCTCGCAAGCTACCGTGTCCGGGGAGATGTGGAGATTGTCACTGCGTGTAGGCTATGTAAGCGATTCTGATCAGCCTTCTGTGCTTGTGATTGACGTTTAGCAAAGCAGTCAGCGAGAATCTCTTCTAGAGCAAGAGACGCTCTATCTATACCCGTGCGCGGATCGCGGTAGGCTCTAAAGGTGGGATATATTCACATCGCGACACGTAAAATGCACGGCAATCATCCCAAGCCTCAGTCTTCTCCCGACAATCGGTGGGGAGCGCCCTGCAGATATAGCGCTGGCGTGCAAGTGCTATCGATTAGGGATGATGAGTTATGTGCTATGACACGCAACGCTTTGTCGCTCCCGTAGCAATGGCACGCCGAATCTTCCGACTCCGCCACATCCCGAAGCCCCTGGTCAAAAAGCTGTCATCCAAGGCACCTCAAGGTAAACTATATCTGATAGGATCTGTCTCAGAAGCCGATCATGTATCCCACGCTCGGCTTTGATATCCGGCATATTCTTCCCACTGGAAAGAATCTCTGCGCACGTCCCAATCAGCGGTGGGAAACGCCTCGGTGGATGGCGGATAATGCGGGCGACTGTATCAATATCATAATGGACGACAGCGAGGAAGGTATGCAGGACGTTCGGGAATTACGGTCATTACACGATCGGGAACTAGTTGAGTGAGCGTACAGTGCGACAGGTAGCTCTAGCATTCATGGATGCTTCAATCGGGCGTCTCGGACGAATATCTGATATCACCCGCGGTCAGTGGCGAGAGGGAAAATCAAATCGGACCATGCCTTACATGATACACGAGGTGATCGCGAAGCGTGAAGGGTTAGGTTCTTAATACACGTTTCGTGTGCTTGCCCGCTCTGCGGCGCTCGGCGTGGGGGATGGGACGTCGCCAGGCTTCGTCCGGGTCATCAGGGTCGTACGTATCGTCCGGCGATGGTGTCTGAGAAGAGTTCGCCCCTCCGGGCGGTGTCCTCTGCGCGAATGGCGGCGTAGTGCCAGGGGTGCGGCCCGGCGCGGACGGCGAATGCGCGAGCTGAATCTGCCGCGGAGGCGGTTGGCCTGGACCCGCTGGCGGGCGCATCGCGGGCTTCTGGGGCGGTGTGTTGTGCGGAGAATGGCGCAAGCCTGGGGTAGGATACGGTGCCTGTGGCCACTGGGGGCCAGATGGTTTGGAAGGGCCCGCCTTGTTCCTCTGGGTCGGGTCCACGGTCATGGCGTCTCTGCCGTAGTCGACCTCCACCCGCACTCGGACGATCTCCTTCCCGGCTTGAGCAAAGAAAGCGCGTTCCTGTCGCGAAAAAATACCGCTCGAACTGGGTCGTATCTCCGAGAACGTCGGCGGTGATGGAGGAAACATCGCCATGAGATCATGGCCTGCGTATAGGATCGGACACGATGCTTCGTAGGATAAAAATGCGAAAGTTGTATGTACCTGTGGGTGGCGGAGGATAGCCCCTCAAAGCAAGGCTCGCATTACTGGAGAGATCGAGATCTAGTCGTGGTATGCGATGATCAGGCCGATGATGCGCGCCAGATCCCTGGTACTGAATACCTCGGAGGGTACCGGGAGAGAGCGGGCGCCGGTGTCCGCCAGATGGGGTCGTAGGAGGGGCGAACATGACTGAAGGACCCGGCGATTGATCAGCGAGCTCGCGGGGAGAGGACGACTGCGATAATGTGGTGGACGAAGGCGATGTGGGCTGCTGGTTGACGGGCCGGAGACGGACGCTGGCCATGATGATAGTCGAGGACGGGGCAGCCAAACACACTCGGGCAGATCACGGAAACAGAAAGCGGGCAGAGATGGTTGTCCAAGGCCTTATATACCAGTCTCCAGGGGTGCATGTGTGTTTCCACGGAAGATCTGGCCAGATGGGATTTCAAGCACAAGCCGAGCCCGGGTTCAGACGTGATGGGAGATTGCAGAGAATCTCCGGCGGACACAGTGCGAAACGGACGGAAAGAGGCAACCGGAGAGAACGTCGAAGCCATTTGGGCGGCCGTATTGGCAGTAACGATATATGACTTTGCGGGACGTCCTATTACGTCCACGCGGCGTAATGAACCTAAGCGAGCCGCGGGAACTTCCCCCTTACCGCACCCTTACTCCCAACTCTATTTGGGTCATTCGTCAGCTTCCGCTTTCATTTGATCACACACCGCTTTGCACTCGCACCGGGATCCCTTCGCCTTTCCGGTCGCAGCTGTGCCATAGTATTGTACCGCGACACAGTAGCATTCCGGACTCGCCGGCGCAGAGCCAGCACCACGTTCATAGTGGCCGCATCAAGTGGGAATGGCGTGCCGGGCGATATCTGCCAATGCGCACGCACATCGCGTGTCAAGCACAAGGAGACCAAAATCTCACCGACACGAGGAGCGTCCCGAAGAACCCGTCCTGTTTTCCGAGCCATATGATTCGACCTTCACCAAATCTGGCTGCTTCCGCGTTCCCTTTTCGGGTCATCCACGCAGGTTCTTTGTGCGATCTCTCGGCAAACATACAATTGAACTCCTTCCCGGGCAATCAAAGCGAAGTTTGTACCCGAGAGACCTGTCCACTGCTTTCCATTTGCGTCCCGTTCGCCATGCAGAGGTCATGCTGCGCTGTTCGCATCCGAGCACAGCTTGATCGTTACGGAAACAAATCCGGAGTCTTCCCGGGCTTGAGGCACCGTATCTTTGGGGAATTTACGTCAAGCTGCCTCGGAACACTCCGCGCCCACGCTGCTCCTCCCGCGGTGCATCACGGCTACACATCTTCCGCGACGCTGAGTGTTCCTTGCTTTCCGAGGCTTCTTCTTCTCAGCATTGCTCTGATCAGGTCACCTTCGTCTCGAAGCGTTATAGCTGCCGTGCTGTTCCCAAGCCCCGGTTGAACATGTACGCCAGTACCTTCGGAGCTTGAGAACGCTCATCCGGCTCCGGGCTGGGTTCCCAAGTTTTAGAATACGAGCGGCCAAGATGCGGCTGTCTGCTCTCTCGCATCCGTCATATGCGAAGGTTTTCCCTCTACTGCAAACGACCGGCTGACTCGCCAAATGGACCTCGCTGGCCTCTTACCGTAGAGATCGACACACGGACATCTTACATATAACCGCCTGTGCTCCCATGTGATCTCGTCATCGTGCATCATGCTGCATGATGCTTTGGCCCGATTGAAGGAGAAGCCCCCCGGCATTGTTCTTTTATCTATGGCAGATGGCGGCCCGCCGCTCGCAAATCCGAGACCAAGACAAGCTCCGGTCACACAATTCAGGACTCCGCTGTATAAACCGGCAACGGGTTGTGCCTACGCGGCTTGGCTGACGACAAGACCACCGTCACCGATACGGGAAAACGCGCTTTGGTCCGATCTTCTCTTGGGGCTCCGCTGTTTACACCCGCACACCTGCTTGCTACTCAAGCATACCTGTCCACGGTGGGCATTCGCTTTGATTGGCTCGGAGAGAGACGCTATTTTCTCGCGACGATCTCACGTTTGGACGGGTTCTCGTTGCGCTGCGTCAGGTTCGGCCGCGATTCAGGATGCCGTTGCAGACTTCAGGGTCTTGATGGAAGCTCTTCCAGACTTCGCATCAACAGGCGTCATGGGCTGCCTTACCGACGCTGCCTGCCCGCTCTGCGGACACGAGCCCTGACACCGAGGACGTGGCCAGAGCCATCCCGTTCTGGCACACTTCTGACACGGCGGCTCGCCGACCGTGTCATCCACCTGCCGCGGCGCATCGGGTGGCGACGAGGGCTTTTTTTTCCAAGCACGACAACGATGGACGTCCCATTGCTGTAGCAACTTCGCGCATGACTTTTCTATAGGGAGGGGACTAGACCTTCTTTGCCGTCGGCCCAGGCCCTTGCATATATCTCTCGGGCTGTCATTCGCCCCTCGACCTGGGACCTCTTCTCCCGGCTCCGTTCCTTTGCTTCTTTTGCGAGACCCTTCTTTTCTTGTCGCGACCGCTCCGCGCTGGTCGCAAATCAGATGAGCGCTGCAAAAAAGCTCGCTCAGAGGGACTTCGAGTGGCGTTTTCTGTGCGGGCGGCGCGGGCTTCAAACTGCGATGTTTCTACTTCATCAGATGCACGACGAGGGCGGCGTCTGCATAAGCGTTGTGGCGCTGTTGCACTGCGGTAGTACCGAAGCTCGAGCTCGGGGGGTGATGATGATGTATCATCGTACGTGCCCGCGGTCTTCGCTCCAGCGTTATATCTGTCTCGCCTCTTCCACGAGAGACGGATCTTTATCGGAAAGCCCTGTAGCGGCACTTGATTTAGGGCGCGTTCGTCTCTCCCACGTCGTGACGCAGGGACCCGACGGTGGGTCGCTTTCGAGGAGATCGATTCCTTCATACTACCTCGCTTCTCTCCAGCCTTCAGGGCACGCCCACTGGGTTTGGCCGCCGGGATCCGCACCATCAGCACTTCCTCAGGTTGCAGATGATTTGTCTCTATGGATCTTTAGGCAAATCAGCTTGCTTGTTTCGTCTGAGCGTACGTGAGACTTACATTCCGTGATCGAATGATTCGCCCGTATTGAAGCCCGGCTCAGAAGGAACATCCAATAGCCTGTGGCGGTAGTTCGGCAGCCGATACGCCAGGCCGCCCTGACAGTATCCATTCTCAGAGCTCTTCTCCCGGAAATCAAACCACGAAAGGAGGGCCCGTGTACCAGAGAGCACTTGCAGGAACGCCTTGAACACGCGCAGAGATCCCAAACACACACACAAGCATGGGACCTGCCCCCAAATCTTCGATGATCGCGGTGCATCCCGCGCGAGCTTCTGAGATGCGCCCGGCACGAAGCTGCAGATACCGAGAGCACCGCCGTTTCGGAGCGCCAACTATCGGGGTGTGCGCGCGAGCGTCGTCCCACTCGCCGCACGAGCAACACTCGGCCGCAACGCTGGTATACAGGACACCGCGGACCGCAGTATTAACCCCGGGGTTGCCAGTTGGGGGAATTCCACAGCCCTGCGATGGCTATCTACCTTCTTCCCCAGATCGCGAACCCAAACGATCGATCTGAGTAAGTACAGAGAAAATCGGAGCTTCTGGCACCGTCTTCTACCGATCGCGCCGCTGGTAAATTACCGCACCGCCAAGCCACAACCTGACTATACTTACTCACAAGGATTGTAACCCCAGCGTGTCTCATCACTGGAAGTGGATAGGATTCGTGAGTGGCGTTCCTTCGTGGTTTGGCTATCTAGGCTCTGGAGTGGGTGCATGGGCCGGGCGGTGCAAAAGGCGTGCTCTGCTTCAGATGACATATGAGTCGGTGAAACCTCGATAGTCAACGAAGAATTCATTCCTGCCGTCTCGAAGCAGCGGCGACGGTGATTTGGCACGATAACCGCAACTAAAGCCTAAGCATTCACTCACGCCGGCATATCGGGCGGCGAAGCAAGTCATTGCGGCAAGGGGGAACCTCGAGGGACCACATGTCCGCAAACGTATCACCGTCCGTCCCGCATGCAGCCTGCAGGCGGCGGACAGGAACTTGTTCAAAACAATAATCGTACACAGTCCACTAGATCACCGGAGATGAGAAACGCGAGGACCGAAGGGCACCTTCGCTATCGAAGCTCTGGGGGCCATTCCTTTCGCGGGCGCCACCTGCCCTCCGCGTCAAACCTTGGGTTCGTCGGGAAGTTCATGCCGTCGTACGTCGGCCTGCCCACGGGTACTACATCATATAGCGAAAAAAAAGAGTCAGCTCAGCTCACACATACCGCAACGAGGAGCGAAAAGCAGGAGCGGTTGATCGAACTGTCGGGGCGGGGGGCGGACGCTTCCTCATGTATTCTAGAATACTCACAGAACCAGAATAGAGGCCTGGGTCCCATGACGCTCTCCCAGTTTGCCCGCATGCTGCCGAGCCACCAGAGGTTGCCTTCGCGGCCAATCCTGCCCCACTCTTCGTCCCATTGCCGCTTCGTTCGTCTCTTCGCCCTGCACACACCACAGACTTCCATCTCAGTATCTCCGTTTTGCTTTACATTGAATAGAACGCACCGGAACTCCCAGCAGGCGTACATCATGTTCAGCCCCTCGCGTTCCCGCTCGTGCATCGAGTGCGCCATCAGCTGCTCCACGGTCGTCATATTGAGCAGTATGAGCCGCGTGTGCGATACGAGTAAAGTTGAGGTGAAGAGCGAGAATAGCGCAGATCTGTCGTCGGGAGAAAACGTGTTGCGTCAGCTCGAGGTAAAACAGGCGGGGAGGTAACGTACAACGCGATGATGACGATGTGCTGCGCGTCCACGTTCGAATCGTTCTCGTCACCGTGTCGCACGTTCATACCCAGGAGGGTACTGAACACCCACAAACAGAACAGAAGGGCCCAAAGGAGGAAGACGAGGAAAAACTTGTGATTGAAGGCGCCGACGCACTGGCCTATCCAGGGGCAGTGGTGGTCATAGCGGAGAATGCACTACCAGAAAACCGTGCGTAAGCGGAACCTGCGGAGATATACGCGAACGAGGAGAACAGGGCATACCGTTCCGCAGAGCCGACAATGATGAGCGCGATAGGGCTTGATCAGGCCGTCTCGCTGGCAGTATCTGAACTCTGGCAGAAGGACAGGCCTATCACTCGGTTGGCGGCTATAAGTGCCGGGAAGCGGCGGTTGTCGATAGCTATAGCTTCCAGAGTTCGACGGCCCCTGCGACCGGGGATAGTGGTATTGGTGCTGGACCTGCCTGGATCCAGGCGTGTGGGCAGGCGGAGGCGGAGATAGCGTCTGGGTTTGGGCCGCTTGCGAGGCCACGGCGGGTATAGCGTGCAGCACGCCCGCGTTGGGGTCGGAGGGCGGAGGAGGCGGGCTGCCCATGCGCTTCTCGGGCGTGACATGTTGCGCGGAGGGATCCATGAGAGTGTGATCGCTGGTGAGGCTTTGGGTGTGTGAGTGTGAGAGCTGGCGGGTGTGGGAGGGCTGGGGGTGGGGGATGGAAGATCGGGTTGGCTGGCGAGACATCTGCTCGTACGAGCGGCCGCGGGTGCGTTCTTCGTCCGCCGCGGTGCCGTCTTCTTCTTCATATGTGTGCCAAGAGTCTTCCGGGGGCAGGTCAAAAGGCGGCGTCGACTTCTCCACGACTTTGCGGGCCTGGCCTGGCGGTGTGAACACGACCTGGAGATGGAGGTGAGGATTGCAGTGAGGTTCGAGAAAGAGGGGTTGAGAGCGTACCATTGCGTAGCTCCAGAACATCATAATCGCGAGCGGGCATACAACGACGAGAAACGCAACTTCGATCGCGCGGATATCAGCTCCGGGGATCCGCACCGAAGGCTATCTAATACTCACTTCCTTCGGACCTCGAGCCTAACGCTCCGGAACTCCGATGTATCATAGGAACGCAGAACCTTCCAATGTATACGTAGCACGCATACACCATGATGCCCTTTCGAAGAAAAAGAAAAAGAAGAACCGTTGCTGCGTGAGCGTCATTCCTATCTCGCCGCAGTAATCATAGCGACATCCGTACCACGGTTATGAACACGGCCAACTTGAGCACGATCCAGGGCTGCTTCTTCTGCCGCGCGTATCTCCGCTGTCGTGCAGCCCGGGCGGACTCGGCGACGATGCCGCAACAGCGGTGGTCTCCTCTTCCTCCCTGGGACGCCCTCGTGGACGGCCGGCGAGTGCTCGTAGGCCGTTCATCGTTGTGTACAGAGTGGGAGGCGGCTGTTGGTGCTGGATCGTCGTTGCTGTTCGGGTTGGGTCTGAGGATGCCGCCGTTGTAGTCGACGGAGGGGGACATAGGTCGTCGCAGGACAGAGGCTGGAGCAGAAACAACATCCCACAGCACGGCAGGCGTTGAGGTGATGAGGTCATCCGATTGTCTCATGGCGGTCCGGCAACCACTGACATTGATCAAACATTGATTTGCTGTAGCCTATACACAACAAGCAGAAAAACAACATCGCGAAGAAGAATAATCCCATTTGCAAGTGCGTGAATACACGGGTATAGAGGACGTCTGATGGACTGTAAGTCAGCCAACCACGAGTTCCCCTCATGTTCCCAACTTGATGATGGACTCGTACTCTGGGAACCACTTCTTCGCGAGCGCCACCACGTACCGCATCAAGCGCGGCTTGCCCAATATGAGAACGTTGAACTCCGGATTGGACTGCAACGCGAGGGAGTTGACGAGGAACGACCAAGTCACGATGTCCACCATCGTCGGCTCCTCTCCCCCATGGAAGAACTCCGACTTGGCCGCCGAGAGCCTGGCGTCCAACGCGTCCACGTACTCCTTCAGCAGCACGTCCACCTCCTCGTCCGAGTGCCGCGCGACGCCGTGGCCCGTCAGCCCCGTCTTGATGCGGCGATAGATGATCCACGCGATGACCGGCTTCACCGGCGCGGGCGCGCTCAGCTCGTGCTTCACTATCGCGTAGTTGGCGGGCCGGAGCCAGCGCGTGCTCACCACGGCGGGGTAAACGAGCTCCTCGACCCACGCCTGCCACGCGCGCGAATCGGCACGCTCGGCGGGCGTCAGGGATGCGTCCGGATCCGGGGAGAGGCCACTGGCGATCAGGTGGCGAACAATGTAGTGCGAGTCGGGGATGACCTGGCTGGAGCCCGGGGTGGTGATCGTGGCCCAGGGGAGTTTGCCCTTGGGCGCGGTGAACGGGACGGCGTCCGCGAGCTCGTAGGACGGCGATCCGACCGCGCGGAGGAATGTCTCGAGTTTTTGGCAGTACCCGGAGGCGCTGGGGATGTTCGCGCTGGGCTTGGAGAAGCCGTGGATAACGACGGAGGCAGTCTTAGAATCTGTGTTGCTGGGCAGTAAGGTCAGCGCGAACAGCGAGGGTGTTGAGAATGTTCGAACAGACCTCATGTTGGTGTGCTATTCGTTGCAAAACTTCGTCATCGTTTGGGGATTTAAGTGCGTCTTCGGGTGGTCATAGGATGCTGACGCAACCTTTCGGCAGGCGCAATCAGCAAGATACGAGTACACCTCGCATCACAGACTGCGGTTTCTGCGGGCGCAGGCGCTATACATCAAGATGCCGTGGAAGATGGAAAGTATGTAGGCGGCGAATTCCAGAGAGTTTCCGTCCGTTGACGTCGCTCGCCGAGTCGCAGCCCGCGGAGAACTGGTCGCGATCCCGTGATCCACCAGGCCACCTGGCTACTGAACGCGGATTTGTGGGTCCACCGCATCATACGCACAAAGAACCACAATTAGCTTCATCTCACAGCGGCTGAGATGAAAGGTGCCATTCGTGGTACTCTGCAATTTTTGTACTCATCGCGTTGCGGACGACACGCATCATTATAGTCCAGTGGCCAACGATCGCGTCGTCGGAGTTGTGACCTTGTGGCTCTCGGAGGACCTTGCATTGTCGGCGCCTAAATAAATACCAACGCACGCGCGCACTTGACCCTCGTCTCTCACTGTCCCCGCAACGCGCAACGCCCCTTCATCCTCTTCGAGTGGCACTACCGGCACGATGAAAAAATCTACCGGTGACATGTCCAAGATCCTCAGAATACGGGCCGAGCGGCCTATCCGGAGGTGCGTCGTCATCAACCGACTGTCGTTGACCTACTCAGCACCCCGTTATCTGACGCTCCCCTTCTTCACGACAGAACTCTCTCAGCGGCTAAACGACAACTTCACCTCACGGCGCCTCGTCGAAGCGCCACCGCTGCTCTTCCGCTTGTACACGAAGTGGACACAGGCGCTGAAACCGAAACCGAGGAAGAACCCGACGCCGACGCCGATGTAGCCGAGAGATTGCGCATACGCAAGCAAACTCGGCAAGTCAAAACACGCCAGTTATGCGTCTACCGGAGGCCTACACCAGTCCTCCCCATCGAGCTCATCGCGATGATAATCGAACGCGCCTGCTACCGCGACCAGAAGACCGCCTGCCGCCTCTGCCTCATCTCGCGCCTCTTCAAATCCATCGCCGAGCCCCTCGCCTACCGGGCGCTACAGATCACCTCCCCGGCCCAGCTCCAATCCTTCGTCCACAGCCGATCGCCTAACGAGGGTTTCGCGCCCCTCTCCCGCCTTATCACCTCCTTCTGGTACGCCGACCTCCCGAGACGCGACCCGCGTGACTTCTACCTCCACGCGCCCTGCATCGGCCCGGCCTTCTCCAACCTGCGCGCCCTCGCGATGGACATGCACGCGTTCTACTACTTTTCGCGCCACCTCGCCGACCACGTCCGCGCGCGCATCCCGCCCGAAGTCCTCCAAGCAGACGGCGCGCCACCGTTCGGCGTCCCCAAGCTGGACCCCGCCAAGGTCGATCAGCAGCAGGTCGACGGCCCGCGCATCACGACGCTCATGCTCCGGCGCACCCACTGCGGCCCCAGGTTCGACCTCTCCCAGGTGCTCCACGTGCCCGTCACCGTCGCGTCCGTCACGCATCTGTACGCCTCGGACGACATGATCGTCTGGATGCACGTCCCCTACCACCCGTTTCGCGAAGCGTTCCGAAAGCTCACCCACCTCGCCGTCTACCGCATCTATCCCGTCGCCATCCCCGGCTTCCTCGACGCCCTCCGCACAACCCTCGAGACCTACCCCGCGCTGCAGATGCTCGTCGTGTGCGTGCACGTGCCGGACCCCTCCGAGCGCCCCGTCTCCGAGCCGGACGAATGGACGGCCGCGAGCGCGTATCAGCGCGAGGAGGCACCGAAGTGGCCGAAGAGGCTGTTCAAGAAGGGGCGGGCAGGGGTACACAAGACGACAGACTGGGAGATGCTGCAGGACTTTGCCGCCAACGACAAGCGAAAGAGGGTGTACATCCTTCCGCATATGCGAACGATGAAAGAAGAGTGGGACGATATGGTTTTGGGAGAAGGGGAATCGGTTTGGGACCGCGCGAAGCGAGTTCAAGTCCGACCTCGGGTCGACACGCTGCGATAGTGCGCTTTTATGACTACTCTAGCGACTGTACACGTTTCTAGTTCCTGTTTCTGTCCTGTTCCAGAGATCGCGCAGGTATACGATCGACTGCTACTATGGACCTTGGCGACTTTCACCTGATGTGAAACACCCTTCTCGCCCGCCTCAAGCATCCCACAGCACCTCTGATAATTTAATACTTGTACACATCAGAGTAGGGGTATCATCTCAATATATCCGAGATATTTAATTATCCGAGTGAGGGGAGCAGTCTACGCAAATCGAGCAGGCCGATACACAGGGCTTATTAATAGATTTCTGACCGGCATCTTTTTGGCAGAATGAGTTTTGCGCCGTGCTCTTAATGACTTCAGATTATGACTGACCATGTACATGGCTATCTATGTGTGAAGCCAATAAAGGTTTGAGCAAGAATTGAAGGAGAGCGGACAGCAGTGAAACGGATGTGGACCCGTAGTAATCCTCTCACGCAATCACATGGCGCGTTCAATTCATTGGCGGCAATTAGACGCATGCTCTCCTCGCTTCCTCACGCTGTCTGCATGTTAACTTATGAGCACATTCCTATATGTGGCGTAGTCTTCTTACCATACTCAGGTCACTGGGCCGGTTGACCAGGGCTCAGTAACGGGTGGAAACCTCCTTATCAGCTACCAGCTTACGACGACACCGAAAACCCGCTCTTTGACTCCTCCGCCGATGATCCCCCTCGTGTTAGTATCCAGAGCCGAGTGAGCGATGGCCAATGGATTACTAGAACTATCTTATACCGATGCTCTGTTTGACAGGCCGCTTCTCCCGTGATGGGCTCAGACAACGTCGGGTACACTGACTGTGCAGGGATTACAATACGCCTGTTGACCTATCGATTCAGTCTCGCTGAGTATGCAATGGTATGACATCCTTGAGTGATTTTGATTGCTGAATTGATTGGAGTTAGAGATACGGAGCTAGAAACGGCAATCTTACAATGGCAACTGTTTCTGGAATGGCGTACTACGACGGGCTCTCCTACAACACTGTCGCTGCTCAGCGAATACGCAGAACTCCTGAGACTGCGATACCAAAGCCATGGATCCGTCGAAGATCTAGAACAGAGCATTGAACTTCATCGACGGGTCCTGGATTCTCTGCGATTCCGTGGAAATCCGCGCCCCGCGGCACTGAATACCCTCGGTGTCGTTCATGCCCTTCGATTCTTCGTCTTCACTAGACCCGATGATATCCAGACATCCATCTCATTGCACGAAGAAGCGCTCTCGATTGCTTCATCGCAGAGCCATGACTATGTGGAGTCTCTTGCCGACCTTGCACAGGCTCTTATCTTCTTGCATCGCCTGGATACCGGCGCGCCCTTGGTCAAACGCGCCATCCACCTCCTTCGCGAGGCGCTCGATCTTATCCGCGTCGACGACCCCCTATTCTTGACCTGTACCTCGCGCCTGTCGGATGCCCTCCGCCAGTTATTTACCTACTCGGGTGGCAAACCGAAGGATATTCAAGAGTCAGTCCGTTTAGCGCGTTTGATCCTCGAGAAAGTCCCCCCCGGTCATCGACAAATACCGGAGTTTCTGATCGGGCTCGGGGGGAAACTCGGTATATTGTTCGAGGTCGAAGATTTACAGGAATATCGGGAGGAGGAAAGGCTGTTATATCGACGAGCCCTCCTCATACAGTCACCCAAACACCCCTTGAGGTGCGTGGCGTTAACCCAACTCGCGTTCGCCCTCGGCTTGGCTGAAAACTATGGAGAATGCACGAGCGCCGTATACGACGAAGCCATCGATGCCAGCCTTGAAGCTCTCTCCCTGATCACTTCGGGTCATATACGATATCACGCCGTTCTCTGCACGCTCGGGTATACGTACTTTCGGCGATCCACTTGCTCTCTATCCCATCGTAAGGACCTAGACGAGAGCATTTCACTACAGCGCCGCGGCATCTCCTACGTTCCCCCCACTGCGAGTCACCGGTACATACACCTACACAATCTTGCCGAGGCGCTTCAAGCTCGTTGGACACGCGATCGGGACCCGACGGATATAGAAGAGGTGATTAATCTGACCCGGGAAGCACTCCGCCTCTGCCCGCCAGATCACCACGACCATCCCTACGCCTTGTATGCCCTGGGCAAGCGACTCGTGGTTAGTTCGATATGGTCTATCGCAGAACTGGATGACATTGTTCGATGTTTCGAGGCTCTCCTCGAGACGAGGTACCCCGTCGGACATGGCTTGAGATCTTGGGCACTTGGAAATATCGCTCAGCTTGTCCACGCGCGATATATGCGGTCGCAAGATCCGAACGACTGGACGTATGCCATGGACTGCTTCCAATGCGCCGCCGATGACCCTCATACGTCCTATCTTCGCCGCTTCGCAGCAGCACAGAGATGGACGGCGGCCGGAGAGAAATCCGGGTCCGTGGAGATGGCGCTGAAGGCGTATCGACGCGCCGTGGACATGCTCCCGCACCAGATCTATCTCGGCCTGGACCTCGCGGGGCAGTTGGAGTCGATGAAGAGCAAGTTCGCTTCCGTGTCATGCGAGGCAGCGGGCTGCGCGTTGGCAGCGTCGCAGCCGGAAGAGGCGGTACGAATGCTTGAGAAGAGTCGGTCAGTATTTTGGGCGCAAATGCTCCAGCTTCGCGCGTCGTTCGAAGGCGTTCCGGCGAGCCTCGCGGAACAGATCATCCAGGCTGCCAAAGGTCTCGAGATATTCCACTCCCACGTGCCGTGCACGGATGCATCAGGGGCGGAACGAACTATCCAGCAACGCGTATTACACCAGAAATTCCAAGAGCTGCTGAGACAAGTTCGGACATACCCCGGTTTCGATAACTTTTTGTTGCCGTACTCCTTCGATCAGCTCGCTGAAGTCACCGCACGCGGGCCTGTCGTCCTCCTCATCTCCAGCGAGCGCTATGGATCGTCTGCAATTATCATGAGAAGCCCGGGCAGTGGTGTGGAGCCCGTTTCTCTGGCAGGCTTCACCACCCGTTTCTGGAGGGATTTGATGACACTGGTCGATGACGTGGTTGCAAACGGCCAAGCTCCCTCCAGACATACACAAGGACCGCGTAAGTCGAGATTAGGGATTGTCAAGGCAGAGGTGCCTATGCGAGACGAGAATGATCTCATGGAGTCCCTGTGGCTCAATGTGGTGCAACCGGTTCTCATTCGGCTCCGCTTACAGGTGCGTTTTTCTCTAGTTTTGAGAGCACCAAGACCTAATGACAGCTTCAAGAAATGCAAGTCGTATGTCGCGCGACCCAGAATATGGTGGTGCTGCGCCGGTGCCTTCGCGTCGCTGCCGGTGCATGCTGCAGGGACAATGAAACCCTCGCCCACATTTCTGAGCGACTTCGCGGTTTCGTCGTACATTCCGAGCCTATCAAGTCTCATAGCCGCAAGGCAGAAAGAAAGCGAATCCCACATTCGAAAAATTCTCGTCGTTGCAGAGCCACACGCAGAAGGCCACTCGCCTTTGCCCGAGGCTCTCCGCGAGGTAAACATCATCCGAGACAAGTTGGCCAGCAACCCACTTGCATCGCTCAATTTGAGGACAGAGATACATGCGGACAGAGCGTCTGTTATGAAGCAGATGGAAGACGCGTCGGTTATTCATCTCGCTTGCCATGGCTTACAGAATCGTGATCGACCACTGTCAAGCGGGTTTCTGTTGCGGAATGAGAAGCTCACCATCAGCGACATCATGAAACTGAATCTTCCGCATGCGCGCTTTGCGTTCCTCGCCGCTTGCGATAGTGCCGCCGCAGATCGCCAGCAGCCGGACGAGGCGATCCACCTGACCGCAGCCATGATTTTCTCGGGAGTACCGAGCGTGGTCGGTACCTTGTGGTGAGTTGGCGCTGGCATCGCTCTGAAAACGTGATATTCAAGTCTGACGCAGGTCAATGGGTGACGAGGACGGGCCGACAGTCGCCAGCTTCATTTATGAAGAGCTCGCAAAAAATTATCCGCACTATGATGATGACTGTATACCCTTTGCGCTTGATTCCGCTGTTCGCAGGCTGCGAGAGGACGGTGTACCTGTACGCCGATGGGCGACGTATATTCACATGGGAATATGATGTGAATATGAAGGAACGTCGAGCAACCACATACTTACGAGGCTGGAGTCTACTGATCACTGCTCCCATGCCAGCTGCTTTGACGTGTTTACAGATGGGAATAGATCACATATTAGTAATACGTTGCCTCTGGGAAGGCCCGTGTAACTCAATTGGCTAGAGTGTCAGACTTTTAAGGCCTACCTGGTCAGCAATCATCTGAAAGTTGCGGGTTCGAGCCCCGCCATGGGCTGGCGTTTTGACGTCTTACCGGTCTCTACGCTAGAGAGCGAGTGCCGTGCATTTCAACATATTTTGCCTGACGCGATGCTCAGCCCGTTCCAAGAAAAAAAACATTTCGATCATTATGTCACAGCGTCCATGCAAACCCTTCACAAATACTATAATCGTACTCGTACATGATAAACCTCAAACCTGGCTCACGGGCTCGTAACCCGCCCGGCTGCTGCCCCGGCCCAAGCCAAAGCCCATCACCCAGCTCTTCCGCGTGGTCTTCCTCGACCCAACACCATGGTCCTCCTCCGCCTCCTCGCGCTCGCGCCGACGCTTCGCCTCGCGGAATCCCTCAAGCGGGACGTCGTACAACCTCTCGTACTCGACCCCAAGCTCGCGCCCGGCCGTCCAGAAGTCCTTGCAGTTCCCGATGAGCCCGAGGTCGAACGGGTTCGCGGCCGTGCCCGCGCGCGCGAGCCCGTCCGCGGCCTTGCCCTTCGTGAACCGGTCAAAGCCGAGGATCTGCATCAGGAAGCCGCCGCCGCAGAGGCCGTGCGAGTGCTTATGCGAGTGGGCGTGGGCGTGCCCGCTCAGCCCGCCGTCGACGCTGTCCTCGCCGACGAGCTGCTCCTGCCCAGCGTGCCCGCCGTGCCGGTGGCCCATCTGGCCCGCAAGACTCGCGCCGCCGCGGCCGCCCATGAAGCCGTACCGTCCGAGGTTGGACACTTCGAGCGTCGTCATTTGGCGCGCGATTTGCCAGTATTGAGAGGCGAGGAGGACGACGGTCCAGGAGAGTTGGAGTGTCGCCCAGGCAGTGACGGCGAAAAAGAACGTGTCGTATGCAGTGATGGCGCAGAGGTTGGTGGGGAAAAGGCATGCTGGCGAGACGGAATTGGGGTCGCCGAGCGGGATGGTGCCGAAGTCTGAAGTCGACGTGAGCGTATCGTCCAAAGGTCAGAAAGTCTTGACTTACAGGAGAAGGCGAGGTAGTCGAAGGTGATTATGCCAAGGACGAGGGTAGTCACAAATATGACGAAGTGTCTGTGGTTGTTGGAGCCGACTAGAAATATTCTCAGAGAAGATGAGAGGGTCAGTGGAGCGGAAACATACCACAGTTCCAGGTCCATGGGCAATGACTGAGGGAGAAACGTGATGAGATGATGAAATTCGGTATGAGGGGTGACCTACTGATCATGCCGGGCAACACACTTGTCGCAGATACGGCAATGCTTCGATCTCAACGGACGGCGTGCCATACAGTTGATGCAAAAGGTTTGCCCGTTCAGACGTCCTTCGGAGGCGAGGTCCTCGATGATCTGCGCATGTAACAATCCGATGAGCATGACCCTCGTAAACTACGGGGACGGATCGCCTCACCGATTTCAGCTCCGCATCGCTGGACGGTTTCGGGCACGAGCCTGGGTCAAGCGTAACTGAACGGAAGAAGTTATATGAGCTGAGGCCAAAGGAGAGCGCAAAGATGAGATGCGCTAGCGCATGGTATTCCGTTTCTGCAGGAAATGGTAGATTTGAGCAAGCTGACATGAAACGTTCGTTTCTCGTTTTACCTTGAACCAAACGGGTCAGCCAGCAGTACGCTACCCAGACCATGGAGCCAAAGATGATGCCAGCGAAGTAGGGGCTTTGCGTAACTTCGTTCGTGTAGGAATGGTTGTTGAGGAGAACGCGCGATACAATCTGGAAAAGGAATGTTAAAACATAGTAGCGCTCAAACCAAAGTACTGACGTGGTGCATGCCAAAGAACTCGGCCATTGCAAGTATGATGCCGGTATACCATGGGAGAATCGTAACAGTCATGAAGATTATATAGAGAAATACTGTCGGGATGAGGAAGATGACGACTTTCGTGTTGCGCTAGAGAACGGAGGGTTAGTTGGTGCCGTATGCCGGTAAGGTTGGGAGAGCATACATCGCTGAGCGGCCGAGCTTTCTTCGTTCCATCCTCGGTCATACCACCCTCCTCCAACGCCCGCCTCCACGCTCCCAAGCTCTTCAGCTCCACCGCCATGTCCCTCGCCGTCCGGCCCTCATTATCCTTCGCATTCACGTCCGAACCCTTCTCAATCAACCGCCGGATGCAAACCCTGTTCCCTCTCACGACGGCCCAATGGAGCGGCGTGAGCCCGGAATCGTCCCGCGTGTTCGGGTTGGCGCCGTGCTTGAGCAAGAGGTCGACGCTGAGCGCGTCGCCCTGGTATGCTGCCCACATAAGGCTGGTGTGGCCTTGCGAGTCCCGTACGTCGACGTTGATCGGCTGGTGGAGGAGGTATAACAGCGGCATGATCGAGCTTGAGTGCGTGACGAGATGGAGCGTGTTGTAGCCCTGCGCATCGCATATATTCGGGTCCGCGCCGTGCTGAATGAGCAGCTGGATCACGTAGAGGTAGCCGTTCCGCGCGGCCCACTGCATCGGGGTCGCGACGAGGTCGCCGCCGAGCGCATCGACTTCGGCGCCTTGTTCGAGCAGGTAGCGGCATGCGCCGATCTGGGCGTTGATGGCCGCCCAGTGCAGCGGCGTGATGTTTTGCTCGTCGCGGTCGGTGGCGGATGCGCGTCCGGACTCGATCAAGGAGCGAATGGTGTCGACGTCACCGCGCTGGGCCGCATAGAATATGTTATCCTGGATTCATGAGTCAGAGAAGTAGCTTGTGGGTGCAGATACGACAGTGCACGTCACCTCCTGATCTTGAGGTACCTGGGCTGGCTGACTGAAGGACATGTCGGTGCCCGCAGCGGTGGTCGCCGTGACCGCCGTCGCTGAGGGCGCTGCTTTATTCGCATTACCGGATGTCGTTGCTGGGTCGTCCATGGTCGTTCGTAGTTGACCCTCGGTAGACGACGTATGAGGGTGAATGTGGTGGGTATTAGAGCGGTAAAGCGCCCGGCCGCAAGTGCATCACCGCAACGGCGGGCAGGCACAGTAAGTATGCTGTGTTTCACAGCGTTACGTAGCGTCAGTGTCGGTCGACAACAGCCACGTATCAGTGCGCCCAGGGGCCAGTTCTTAGTTTCACCGCTCGAGCTCTAGTACCACGGGCTTTGACGCCAGTTCTCATAGCCTCCGTCATGTTTATACGATGCTCTATGTCGATGCCGATATCGCAGAAAAGCCGATGACCACGTTGCGAGCACTGACAGTTTCCTCATACTCCCGGGCGGCAGGCGTGCAAGATTGTGGAAAGTTTCCTCACCTTGTACAGTTTCCCACTATCCTACGCTACAAGACCTGGATCACTGCGTTTGTGGAAAAACGCTCGTTGAACTACGATTCCAACAATACATGAGGGGCGGGAACATCAAGCTCGGGCCTCAGTTTCTCATTCAGTCTTCAGTTTCGTCGTTCGTTGTATCCCGCTTCACGCTTACCGAGATCGAGGGAGAAGAGCGCACGCTCAGCTGAGGCGCCATAGATATCACTAGTAGGCAAAGCCAGCTATCTCCGCATAAGCACTGATGAACCCATATTTGATAGGTCTATCGAAAAATGAAGACGGTGGTGCCGTCGCCAGATACCGTCAACGTAGGCGTGGGCAAATGAATACGTATGGGTCGTCTGACCATTACAGCTTTCCGCCCCCGACCACAGCTCCCGCGTAAGACAGCCGAATAAACCGAGACGGTGACGGCTGGGTGGGCCGCCTGGCAAATTCGGGGCCAGGAAGCCATGATCATGCTTTACTCGTGAAGTGTATGCCAATCTCTCACGCGTTCTCTAGCTAACGTGGACGCAGGCACCGGGCCAGAAGATATGGAATTGGATTTCACCGGAACCCCGCCACTTGAGAATGCCCTCTTTTATAGGACCCGGCCGCTGCTATCCAGTACTTCGCCGCTGCGCTCGACTATTCCTTTGGTCGGATGCGTCTTCGCCTTCTACACGCGCGCCACCACCTGCAGCTACTGTACCACGCCGTCCCGCGCTCGCTGAAGGCCACAAGGCCAGACGAGGTTACTCTTTCTGAGGGCTTGCTGGATGTGTACATTCGTGCTATTGCCATCATACCGTGGGTTGCTCTGGTGCGGTTTTAGCCTTGAAAAGCGCCTCGCGGCCCTCCAGGACTCACGGCAAATCGCCATGGATGCCGCGATCCGGGCAGCCCACCTAGGCAAGCTGGACCCCGCGGCCGAACTCTTGGAGCAAGATCGTGCCGTGTTTAGGGCCCAGGCGCTGCGTCTGCGCACGCCTTTCGATGACTTGCTTGAGGAACTGTCAGGCCTACTTCGAACACTGGCCCGCGCGCTCGAGGGTCTGGTAATTGTGGACTCCGGTCGGCCCTTGTCAATCGAAAAGGATGCTGCGCTGCGTCGGACCCGGAGCGAGGGGTTTGAGCAGCTGATGGTTCAGATCCGAAAGTTGCCCGGCCAAGAACATGTCCTTCTCCCTGTGCCGTTCGCAAAGCTCCGCGAGGCCGTATCTGGTGGACCCGTAGTGGTCTTGTTAGCGGGTCTGGAAGAGTGCCGCGCCATTGTCATCGGAAGCCATGAACCTCCTTTACATGGGCGCCTCCCGGCGGCGAACCGGAAGAACTTCGCTCTAATCCCGTCTCTCCTCCGGCGTTTTTACTCCCAGAAAATACCGTCGTGTTTTTTGTCCCGTGCCCCGCCATCGCAGTTTGTGAAGCGTTGCGCCGTGTCCAGCGGGAAACCCGATATATCACGTCTCCGCCCGTCGCGCGTTAGTAACAAGGGATGAGGCAGCTGAAGACGACCAAGACTTGATTCGATGCAGTCGATGGTGCATTCCTGGACGGCTTCCGCGAAGATAATGTCAAAGATAATACAGACAAGGACGAAGATCAGTCAGACAATGCTGACGCCGAGCGAGATCAAAAGAGCCGATGTTACGGTATCACGGCGCATTACCGTAGCAACATTCTCGTCATATCGAACCCGTGTTAACAGCCAACAACGTGGTTGGACGCTTAGGCGGTGTTCGGTTCAAGGTGACTGAGGTAAGTCACCCTGATTTAATACCAAAAAAGGCAAATCAGGTCTCAGTTGAGTCTGGTAAAACTTCCAGATAGAGTAACACTGTGAGACACACATGCCATAATTAGTAGCTTTGGGTCGCAAAAGACAGGTGATTCACTTGAGTCACCGGTGAACCGAACACCGCCTTAAGAACATTCACGTCTTCCGTAGACGGAACCGTGATATCTGACATGCAAGTTTCGATTAAGTATCTCCATTAAAGCATGCAATGTACGGTGTGTAAACTGAGGGAATGTGGATGATTGTTCTGGAAAAATCCCGAGTCCTCTCGCTTCGAAGTCCCTTAGGACGACGTCTGAACCTTGAGGTTAACGTTGACGCCACCCTGAACGTCCACCGGGCTACCATCGGTACCCGAGGTAGGGTAGATGATGTACATGATCGGGGTGTAAGTCGCGCCATCGACGTAGGAGGCGTGAGGGATCTGTTAAGCGCGTTAGTCAGCTCAGCTCGCTCCCTACGCCCAATCGACCGATGCGTACCGTCACATTGGTCACGTCGAAGGGAGAAGCGGAGGTGCCCGCAAACTGGTGCCGCGCGAGCAGGATCGGGGCCTCGAATCCGTTGTTGTTCTGCACCACCTCGAGCTTGTACTCAACCCACTCAGGGACGATGCCGCGGCTGAAGGAGCAGGTGAAGTCCGCGGTGATGGTGACATCCTGTTGGGAACGAAGTGTCAGAGATTCGGTTCGGGAGCGGAGAAGCTTGGTATGAGCTCACGTCACCGGGAGCGGCAGTCGAAGGGTTCGCAGTGGCAACACCGAAACGCGCCGCCTCAGCGCAGGACTGGGCGGTGACGATGGCGGGGGCAATGGCGGCGAGGGTCACAGCGAGCATGGTCTTGAACTGCATGGCGGTAGTGAGAGGCGAGTTTCGAGACTGTCTAGGGAGCGTTTGAGTTGGATGGAACTTGCTCCTCTGTGTTAATGCATCTCACCTTTTATATGCTTGCAAGGCGCTTGGTCGGTTAACTTACGTCCGTCATCACGGCGGGGATTGATCCGGATCCTAGGTTGCGCTCATGTCCGCCTTCGAGCGGCGTTCATACTCCGCAAGAACCTCGTCTTGCAGCCTTCTGCAGAGGGTGTCGACTAGTCACAAGCAAGAGAAGCCAAAAACCCCCAAAGGCATTACAAATGGCGATGCCGAAATCCCAACACTGTTACCTGCCACACCATCGGATCTAGCTGCGCATGCTGGGCACAGAGCAAGAGTGCCAATCTTTGTCAAACATCCAGTTGGTCTGAGATTCTTAAACGAGCTTTCGCCGTGTGAGCTGGCAGCATTGGCACATATGATATCCTCAAAAGGCATGTCTAGAATCGTCTGCTCAGGCGCACGGTTTCACAAATCGGGCAGAAGCGCCGAGCTGAAGTCAACATCCGGGAAGCGGCTTTGCTATGCTGTGCGTAAGATGTAAGCAATGATATGTCCGGGAGAATGCAGGCCAGTCAGAAAGTTGCTAGTCGATGAACCTCGCGCGGCTTTGCACCTGCTGTGCATTGGTCGTGATCCTAGAGGGTTACCGGTCGAGATGCCCAGTTCAGTACCGACTGAGAGCCAGCAGTCCGCACGCTCACCTCAGTGTAGGGCAAGGTTGATGATGTAAATGAATATCCAGCGTTCGCAAGACCTACAACTCGTTCCGAGCAGTGTTGGCGACCTGCGACGGATATACATCGTGTGGTTGCTCCAATGCGACAGTCTCGGAATGTGAGGATCAATGGTCATCAAAATTGATCATGCTATGCGAGTATACCTAGCGCCCTGATGGATTTTCTGCACACGACCTGAGGTGCGCATTTCAGGTTTGAGCGACTAAAAAGGGCCGGATCGCGTCTAAAAACACTGCGGGCTTCTCCACCATCGGCAGATGACCCGTCTCCGGTATCTGCACCAGCCCGACGGATGTAGGCACACTCGCGACGTACTCCCCCATGGCCGCCGGCAACGCGCCATCTTCAGCCCCTACCACGAACAAACCAGGTACCTGAAGCTCGCCCAGCCTCCCTCTCAGGCCGTAGTCCGATAGTGCGCCGGCTCCGCTCTTGAACCCTGCCAGTGGAGTCTCTGAGATTTGACGGCGCACGTCATCCAAGGCGGGGGGCGACGTGGATACGGAAGAGGGAGTGAACCACCGTTGGACGGTCGAGTCGGCGAGGGCCGACATTCCCCGCTCCTCTGCGAGCTGGACGCGCTCCGCCCAGGCCTTGCTGTTTGCCGGTGAGGAGGCGACATTGCAGTCCGCCGCGACGAAACAATTCAACCTGTCAGGGTGGCGCAAGGCGAAATTGAGCACAGTGACTCCGCCCATGCTCACCCCGATGACCGCATGCGCTTTGGAGACACGAATGGAGCGGAGCAGCGCCGCGATGTCGTCGGCTAGGGCGTCAAAATCTGCGGGTACGTCCGGTAGCAGCATGGAGCGTCCGTGGCCGCGCGTGTCGTAGCGCAGGAGGCGGTACTGTGGAAATTGCGCCTTTATGAGGTCCACGAGCGCGTCCCACATGCGCAGGTCCGTCATGAGCGAGTTGGAGAAGACGAGCGTTGGCGCGTCGGGATCCGGGTTTCCTTCGAGAAGGTAGTGAAGGCTGGTACCGTCGTGCGACGGGACGATGGAGTCGATTACGGGGGACGTGCTGAGGTCGCGCGCGCCCGGGGAGAAGATGTAGGAAAGTGCGTAGGTACGGCGGTACGACGCGCGCACGGTATTCATGACCCGCGTGCGCCAGGGTGTCGATGTCGCGCGGGCGTGCTCTGGCCCATCAAGGCCGTTGTGGGCGCGGTAGTCGTGAAGGGCGAGGTGCTTGAGTGCTGGGGTACCTTCACCAGTTGCCGAGAAGAGCTTGAATCTACGGGTGCGCTGCCAGCCAGGCACTTGAGATAATAGGTCAATGTGTTCCTGTTTTGTCGATGAGAGGGGGTAAGGAAAGGAAACGCGGATAGTTTGTACCTCTTCATACCATCGGTCGAAATCCTCTTCGTGTTCGTTTTCAACGTCTATAGCCACCGCAACGAGTATTGACCCAGGCTCCGGCACCGCCGTTCCTCTTGACGATACCAGTGTGTACATTCTCCTGTCGAGGATCTCTATTTCTTGTTCAATAACACGGGTCTCCCGCTCTGAGCGTGACTCCCTGAGCTGCTTATATGACTCCTCCTCCAGTTTGTTGACGTCTTCGATGTCGTATGTGGCTAGCCATTCCGGAGTCTGACCGTCGTTGGCCTTGTATCGGTACCCGTTACTGAAATACGGGAGGCACAATCTAGCCGGTCCGTGTTCGTTGTTGTACCAGTCATGGAACTCGGTCTCTGACTCCTTGGGATGCGAGAGCACGTAAAGCAAAGCCTGCGGATCGACATGGGTGATGGTCATGCCGACGATAGGGTGCTGCATAACGATGAGAACACAAGCGGGTGGAGGATGAGAAGAGAAGAGCAACTTTGGGCTGCACAACCCGGCCCGGCCGGTATTGGGACCGCGCCGGTTCATACTACCTACCTACCTACCTACCGCCACTCTGGGAGAACCGCGATCATGGGACCACCATGGCCGCCTCGTCCTGGGAGTTCAACGCAGCCGTCACGCCTCGTCTACTCGCCGACAAGCTTTCGAAAAACTATATGGAGGCAGGGCAAGGAACACCGGGACTAGCTCGAGAATGTCAAGGGAGGTTACACACCACCAATCAGTACGGTTTCGAGATCCACTCATCAGCGTGATATGTTTGGGCTAAAGTTGCTATTTTTAGACAGCTCGTTTAAACTTGATGACCAAACAGCATATACAAGCCTATTCCACTGATAGCCTACCTTGGGAGCCGAGAACCACCCCGTGCGATGAGCTCCGGAGGTCATTGGACCAACTATGAAAACGGGCGGCCCGGGCCGTGTCATCTCACGAGGATACCATGCAGACCGCCAGGTTTGCTTGCAAATATCTCAGGATGCTTCTCCTCGACAGTACAACACTGAAGCTAGAGGACCGATGGACAAGGCCAATATTGAACTCATCGATACTACCCCAGTCGGCGAGCAACAGGATGGCCCGCCGGCAGTCGAGAACGAAGTACGAACATTGGATCCTCTGCCTTCCGATGACCCCAAGGACCCGCTCAACTGGCCATTATGGTTGAAGGTGCGTCTGGCATTGAGCGCCCCTTCCCTTCTCGAAGTTGAAACCTGTGTCCTCTTTCAGATTGCGATCTTGGTGCAGGTGTCTATTCTTGCAGCACTCGGGTCGTTGAACGTCGCCATCATCAACCCTGCGTATGTACCCTTAGCTGAGGAGTTCGGCATTGACGTCGTCGTGGCATCCTATCAAACGTACGTGCTTTTCTTCCACCTCCTGAACCTGATCTCGACCTGAACGCCGCTTCCTGATACCATAGGACGATTCCCATCGCGATTAACGGAATTGGCCCGTTCATCTGGGTTCCTCTAGCAAATGCCTACGGCCGCCGCCCCGTCTACCTTTTCACCACCGTCTTGGGCTTCTGCTCTGCCTTAGGGTGCGCGTACACCAAGAACTTTTCGCAGCTGCTCGTTGCACGCGTCTTCAATGGACTCTTTCCGGCCGCGCAGACGCTCGGAGCGGTGACAGTCGTGGACCTGTTCTTCCTCCATCAGAGGTTAGTAGCTGATTGTACTCGGTTTTCCCATTATTCGTGGCGCTAATAATCGCGCGCCAGGGGCCGGGCGATGGGGTTCTGGGCGGTCATGCTCACTAACGGAAGCCACCTCGCACCAATTATTGGCGGACTCTTAGGCCAGTTCCTTGGATGGAGATGTACGACCTCGAGTTTCATCGCGTTGTTAGCACAAATTGATCACTTACCGCAGGGTGTTTCAAGTTTGCCGCCATATTCAACGCGTTCATGCTCCTGACCATCACGCTCTGCCTTCCTGAGACCCTGTACGTCCGTCAACCATCGTCGAAAGCGCAAGATGAGGCCCGCCAGCATCCCGGCCCTCTGACGTGGAAGGTCTATATCTCCTGCCTTCGACCGTGGAGCCGTTATCCTGGGAAGCACCTGCGCCTCGATGCGTTCGTCGTACCGTCCCTCAAGATGGCGCGGTATCCGAGCGTCTTGTTCCCCGCAGTATACTATGGCGTCCAATACGGTTTTGCGAGTATTTTACCCGGTACGCCATCTTGCATGTCCAGCATGACGGCGATTCAGGACTCATTGCGCCGTAGCCGTGACCGTGGCTGCGATCTTCAAGGCCCGTTTCAACTTCACCGTCTTGCAGACGGGTCTCGCTTATGGTCTCGCGTTACTGATTGGCGGGTGTTTGGGCGAGGTAACGTGGACCCTCGCCAGTTTTTCTCCACAATATTCCACGCTGACTCATACGTTTTCACACCCCAGCTGGCGGCAGGCATGGTCGTCGACGCCATCGTTAAGCGCGAGATGAAAAAGCGCCCAGACGGTCAGGTCTACGCCGAAGTTCGGCTACACGCGATCTGGACAGGTGCAATTCTGGTCCCCGTAAGCGCTTCCCATCTATGATACTTTGGCGTATGTCACTGAACGCCCTCATGCTAGGTGGGGCTGCTTATCTATGGCTTTTGTATCGCCAACGCTGGCGTCCACTGGGCGGGTGCGCTGATGGGCATGGGCATCGCATGCTTCGGGATCCAGGTGATCACGGTGAGCCGAACGCGCCATGAAAGACCGCCAGCATATCCGATTGATCGGGTTCCTCCTAGACAACGTGCTACACCTATTCCATCGACTGCTACAAGACACAGGCAAGCGAGGTCAGAGACCACTTTTCCCTTGTCTTTCCTTCGCCATCTGCGCAAAGATGCTGACTCGCCCGTCGCAGATATCCCAGCTCTTCAATGTTCTTCGGCAAGAGTTCGGGATGACATTCGCGTTCTACGCCGTTGATCTCGGGAACCGGATTGGGTACCAGTTCGAGTTCTTGATGTTCGCGCTGCTCGGACTCGTCGTTTTTGTACCCGTCGTGGCTCTGATGTTCAATGGAGCTCGCTGGAGGGCTCGTTTACAGGAATAGCATAGGTGAGAAATTTGGGAGACGACGTCGCTACAGGATCCACTGACATCTTATGCCTGCATTCTACTATACACGCAGCTGACCATGAACGGGATGTTGAAATACCTCCCACTTGAACTCTGATTCCGCGAACAAGTTCGTTATCAACAATAGCGCGGTAAGTGTATGTAGCAAGGTTCCCCGCACCAGCTCACTGACAGACTGCGCAAGAGGTATATTTCCGGTGCGGAAAGACAAAGACTTCCTGATTACGACATCACTTGCTACTTTTACTTCGATCACTCACGGCGGGACCTTTCGCTCCATTGTCCCCGTGGACTGTCTGTACCCGAATCCGGCCTGCTTTTCTGAGACCCATACGGAGGATGTCATTCATAGTATGCACATGCAAAAACCTCCCACCAATGCAGATGGCCATCGGTTGCTGTTTCAGTGGTTTCTTTGGACTTGTGAGGAATGTCGGCCCGAATAGCCAACGTCTTGCTGCTCACAGCTGTCTTTCTGTGAGCGTAGAACCAATCTCGTGCGAATAAGACGTACAAAGGCAATCTGGACCATTTCGAAAAAAGACTGTCTCTACATGGCGACATAAGTAATGCAGCATGTGTCTGCTCGCTGACAGGTCTCTGCCCGATACTGATAGGAGTCACTGACGATGGCGAAGGCTGACTCCATTGTTCATCTCGGTGAATACCTTGCTGGTGGGAAACAGGATTTGCACGTAGTAGTGGAAGAGGGGCAAGCTTTAGACCCACAGCCATCTGGCGACTCCAAGGATCCATTGAACTGGCCTTTGTGGTTGAAGGTACAGCACCCAGAATCCCTTTCTTTCAGACATTGATATGCTCCTCTTAGATTGCGATCCTGGTGCAGGTATCGATTCTCGCAGCGCTGGGGGTGTTGAACGTTGCAATCATCAACCCAACATATGTACCTTTGGCCAATGAGTTTGGCATTGACGTTGTGACGGCTTCGTACCAAACGTATGTGCCATTGAGTGCCTCTCATCTCACCGCTATCACTGACTCGGTATGACTTGTGATTGTGATTGGAGGGTCTCACAGGACCGTCGCCATTGCAGTTAATGGACTGGGACCTTTCATTTGGATTCCCGTGGCTGACACGTATGGCCGCCGTCCTGTCTACCTCTTCACCACCTTCTTGGGTTTCTGCTCGGCCCTCGGGTGTGCATACGCGAAGAACTTCTCGCAGCTGCTCGTTGCGCGCATCTTCAATGGGCTTTTCCCCGTTGCAATGACACTCGGTGCTGTAACGGTCGTAGACCTCTTCTTCCTTCACCAGAGGTTGGTACTGTCCTGACTTTGTGCATATTTGACCCGTGACATTCATAGCGTTTAGGGGCCGGGCGATGGGGCTCTGGACAATCATGTTGACAAATGGCAGTCATCTTGCGCCTATCCTAGGCGGTCTTCTGGGCCAGTTCCTCGGATGGCGTTGTACGAGTACCTTTTTCTCTGACAGGGACGCAGCTCAATGTTCTGCTCCTAGCGTGTTTCAGGTTTTCAGCTATCTGCAATGCTTTCATGCTGCTCGTCATCACATTTGGCCTACCAGAGACATACTATGTCCGATGTACAGTGCTGCAGGAGGGCTCCTCAGGACGGTGTCACGCGAACTGTAGTGCAAGTATGTAGTCACACAGTTGCCTAGGGTCCCGGTCTATCTAAGTCGGGGATGACCTAGTTGAATCAGGAGAAAGAAATGGACCGCTTGAATGTATTCACTTAAACAGAGAACTACGCTCTGTCCCTTTGTCTGTACTGGAAATCTGTTCCCACGCTTATGGGGAAGTCACTGAGTATGTCGTTGGTCTTCTGGAAGCGTCTTGTCGCTTCAACGTATCCTATTTCCTATCTTCTAGAAGCGTCTTGTCGCTTCAGCGTATCCTAATTCCTATGTCGTATGTCCTGGAGTGATACTTAGATCTATTGCCTAAGTCAACACTCAAATAGCTTCCTAATTCCTATGTCGTATGTCCTGGAGTGATACTTAGATCTATTGCCTAAGTCAACACTCAAAAGCGTCTTGTCGCTTTAACGTATCCTATTTCCTATATCGTATGTCCTGGAGTGATACTTAGATCTATTGCCTAAGTCAACACTCAAATGTCTTCTTAATCTTGCTCTTGCTGCTTAATACTAATAGAGACTGATCTACAGTCTCCTGTGATCGATCTTTGATTCTAGGTGAAAGTGAATTTATTTTTTCGAAGGGCTCGTATGCCCTCCTTTTATGCTAATTTGGCCAATACCACTCCATCCAATCAGATCACAGGCTTACTAAGCG